CCCTTCCCTCCCCTCCTCTTTTCTTTTCTTTTGCCAAGCATTATTTCCACCCTTTCAACACTCTACAGTTTCTCTCAATAATAATCCACTTAGAGTTTAGGCTTATCCCAGTTTCTGAATCTGCTTCTGCAACTGAATTAGTTTTTCTTTACCACACATAGCTTGAGCTTGGCCATCTCCCTCCTTCCCTTCTGATTTTGCTGCTAGATAACAACAAGCTTAATCCTCTCCACCCACCTTGTCTATCCCAGGCCTCTAAAGCCATTATGATAAGCTTCCTGCTTGTCAGGCCTGAGAATGGGAAGTCTAAATTGCCACCCAAAAGGGTGGCTCTCTGGTTGGAAGGGGATGGTTAAGGGATTTGTTTGGAGGTTGTATTTGTGGCATACACACTGATTTTACTTGGATTATATTTTAGAGTGGCTTTTTCCTTCCTTCCAAGTTGCCCCTCAACATGTCCACTAGGTCATATTCTAAACTTCACTTCCCATTGCCCAAGTATTTTACTGGCAACCCCCCAATCAGAAACTCTTCAAGAGAAAAAAAAAAGGAGAATAGAGAACAAAAGCAGTGGCCAGAAATAATTTATACTTGGCTTTGAGATACATTATACCATTGCTTTCACAGCTAATCATATTAATTTTATTCACTTAGCTTTACATTAAAAATAACATATATCAACTGAAAGCTGAAGGATGCAGGAATAAAACAATTAGGTTTCTCACACCTGTCAGAATGGCTATCATCAACAAATCAACAAATGACAAGTCCTGGCGAGGATGTGGAGAAAAAGGAACCCTCCTGCACTGCTGGTGGGGATGCAGACAGGTGCAGCCACTGTGGAAAACAGTATGACGTTTTCTCAAAAAATTAAAAATGGAACTCCAATATGACCCAGCGATCCCACTGCTAGGAATATATCAGAAGAAATCAGAAACACCAATCAGAAAGGATATATGCACCCCTATGTTCATAGCAGCACAATTTTTAATAGCAAAGATTTGGAAACAGCCTAAGTGCCCATCAACAGATGAGTGGATTAAAAAACGGTGGTACATCTACACAATGGAACACTATGCTGCTGTAAAAAAGAAGGAACTCTTACCATTTGCATCAGCATGGATGGACCTGGAGAGCATATGCTAAGCAAAATAAGCCAGTCGGAGAAAAATAAATACCACATGATCTCACTCTATTGTGGAATAGAATGAACAGAATAAACTGATGAACTAAAATAGATCCAGAGACATAGAAGCATCAAACAGACTGTCAAGCCTTAGCGGGAAGGCAGGGGAAGGTGGGAGAGGAGGGTAAGAGATCAACCAAAGGACTTGTATGCATGCATATAAGCATAACCGATGGATACAGAGAGTAGGGGGGCAGGGACATGTGCTGGGGGCGGGAGTGGGGGAAGCAGCCGGATAGAAGTCAATGGGGGGAAAAGGAGACATATGTAATACTTTCAACAATAAAGAATTTAGAATAAAAAACAATTAGGGTTAAAATATTATCATCATAATTCATAAAGTACATAGAAGGCTTACAGAAGGATAATTGGCTTCATTCTATTTAACAAGACATTTTGGAAAGTCATGCAATTCTCAAATATAATAATTCATGTATGTCTTCTATATTATTATTTACCTTTAGATAGATTATTCAGAAGACCCCTTCCTCCCTATTGCAGACTTAGAAAAAGCATGATGGGTTAAAGAGTTAACTATTTTAATGGTTCTCTGCTTCCCGCCATCTTGTTCTAGATAAAAAGTTGGACTGAGGATATTTAGGTTTTCTAAATTTCCATATATATATACCTATCAAATATAGGTTTAGTCTTACCTTAAAGGAAATATCTTTGTTCATACAGGAGAGAGTAAACATATCTGGACACTTCACAGAGAAGCTTACCGCCATACCTCTAGGGTGGCTATCTTTATATGTACATATTACAATTTTAGTATGGGATGCATTTTCTGAAATAAATATTAACAAATGAGAACACTAGTTAGAAGAATTTTTGCAAATCAATATTTATAGAAAGTAGCCAAAGGATAATCCTTAATAGACCCATTACACATCCCACACACTGTGATTCAGCCAGTTAGTGGAGATGATACGCAGTTGCTCAGACATTCTTTAAAACACATTCAAATATGTATCACACACAAAAGCAGTAACATTTTGAGTGTTTAAGAGATATTCTGAATTCTGAAAGATTATCTTAAACTTTTACTTTTCAAAAAATTATTTTTATTGATTTCAGAGAAGAAGGGAGAGAGAGAGAGAAACATCAATGATGAAGGGATTCATTGATCAGCTGCCTCCTGCATGCCCCCCACTGGAGGTCAAACCCACAACCTGGGCATATGCCATGACCAGAATCGAATGAAGACCTCCTGGTTCACAGGTAGACCCTCAACCACTGAGCCACGCCAGTAGGGCTGTCTTTAACTTTTAAATGCTAAATACAATATTAAAAATCTACCTGTTAAGGCAAAAATTCAGGATTTTTCAAGGGTGCACATTCACTGTTTCAACTCTGCCTAAACTTTGGTATTTGGAATTTATAACTTGGAAAGCACAGTAAACTTATTCATTTCCTAAGCACTCTAAATTTCTGATGGGAAGACAGACTTATTTGAAATGCTTGATATTTATTTTTAATTTTGAGTTTTTAAAATGCTATCAGCAATTTCAGCTATAGCCAGCAGGTATGAAGGATCCAACTCTATAGAAATGTTATACAGTTCATGCAGTTGCAATGAAGGAACTCATGATCCAAATGTAGGCCCAGAGTAACATGACCCCTAGATATATCTTAAAAATTTTTAAATTAAATGTATTGGGGTAACATTGATTAATAACATTATATAAATTTCAGTTGTACAATTTTAGGATACAATATCTGTATACTCTGCTGTGTACCCACCACCTGAAACCTGGTTTTCCATCAGCACGTATTTGATCCCCTTTACCCTCTTCGTCCTCCTCCCAACCTCTGGTAATATCTTTATTGTATCAATTTTTCATCTCAACTACAATATTTGGATACTCTATAAAGTTTCTTGTAAGTGAAATTATTACTATTGCTATTACTTTTCATTTAAGGACTAGGTCTATAATAGAAAAAAGTAGGCAGTAAAAGGGAATAAGAAGTAGTAGCTTGTCATTTCTATGTTTGTAAATATATTTTAAAAATACCTTCACACTCAGAATCAGTCATATCTTCAAACTCAGCGTGGCTTCTCTGGGAAAAGAAGAGAACTTGGTTGTTCACATTTCGTATGATTGACAATCTATGTCCAAGCCTTCCAAAGTAGTCTGATTCCAGGTTTTCTAGGATGGACATTAAATCACATTAAAAATAAGTTGTTTTTTTCAAAATTTACAAGCAGGCATACTACATATTTCAGTTTTCAATAGCTACTGATCACAATCTTCTTCTACAGAAGCAGCTAAGATAAAGTTGCACAATGTTTTTTAATCCATTTCCAAAGACAACTCTGCTTCTTCTTATCACCCAAAACTACTCTACCTCTGAAATGTTAAATTCAAACACTCTGCTTTCTGATCACAATCTCCTATCCTAGTTGTTTTATACTTTTCCTCCACTTCACTGAGTCCTCCTGATTTTAAAATAGGCATTTCCTCTCCCTAACCTTCCTGTTTTCCTTTCATTTTCTATGCAGTCTGGACCTTATGGTTCATCATTTTGTCTACCCTTTGCCAGCCATTCCAAGCCCAAACTCATTTGTTCATTTGTCTTTCTACTACAAAACTCCAAACCTGGCTGCTGAGTGTCACTGGTATTTATACAAATACACAAACTGGTGCCATTGCAAGCATATAAATTGTCAGTGCTTTTTTTTTTTTTTTTTTTTTTAACAGTTCAGCACCCTCTTTCATAATCCATAGCTATCATTTCAGATCTTCCCTACCCTCCTCAGGATCTCGACATCATCATCTCTGCTTTCACTTTCAATAAATGATTTCCTGCTACTCCACTTACAAATTTAACTGTGGCACCACCAGTCATTTCCTTATCCCTCTTGTCCCAAGGGAAATGTAGAAAAGGTGCCCCTTCTGATATCTAAGGCTAACCCTACCTGTGCTCTGATGTATATTCTCCTGAAACCTTGATTTACCAATCATCCCCTCTTCTATATCAACCCAGCAATCTATATCCTTGATTTTTTCCTAAAGGAACAATCAGAAAAATGTGTAAATATTTCTCTGCTATAATGCTTATGGGAGCACTGGAAACAATTTAAATGTTTATCAATTGGAGACTGAGCAAAAAAATTTTGGAATATCATGAATTTAATATAACTGTAATTATTCTTTGCCATGGAAGGATGTCCATGTGTATTAAACTAGAAAAAGAAACTTAGGTATAGTATTACACACACACACAAACACACACATACACACACGTGGGCAAAAGTAGGTTTACAGTTATAATACAAATAATACAATAATACATAATAATATAATAATAAGATGTGCTGCACATGCTCACAACTGTAAACCTACTTTTACTCACATATATTTAAAGAAGTACAGAAATAATACACCAAATGATACTGATTATTAGTATTCTTAGGTTTTTTCATGTTTTTCTTTTTTAATTGCCTGAATCATTTATAATAAACACATTATTTTATAATTAAAAAACCCACAGCCGAAGCTGGTTTGGCTCAGTGGATAGAGCATCGGCCTGCGGACTGAAAGGTCCCAGGTTCGATTCCCGTCAGGGGCATGTACCTGGGTTGCGGGCACATCCCCAGTGGGGAATGTGCAGGAGGCGGCTAATCGATGTTTCTCTCTCATCGATGTTTCTGACTCTCTATCTCTCTCCCTTCCTCTCTGTAAAAAATCAATAAAATATATTTAAAAAAAAAAAGGAAGGAGAAATCTTTAAAAAAAAAAACCCCACAAAACTCTTTTCATTTTGAGATTTAAAACTCCTCCATCAATCATATCCTATTCGGTAGCTAGCCTTGTTTCTTCTTTTAATAGTGGAGCTTCTGGTAAGAACTGTGTCATTCCCTTACTTTCCATTCACTCTTCTACTCATTGCAATCTCTCTCTGCCTCTATTTCTCCACCAAACTTCCTTCAGCGAGATCACCAAAATCCCTGTTGCTAAATGTAATAAATGCTTTCCTATCCTTGGTTTTCAAGGCTGTAAAATTCAACACAGTGACTGTTACCTCCATCTTGAAATTCTCTCCTGGGATTCTGTGGCATTCTCTTGGTTTTTCTTCTTCCTCTTTGGTTACTCTTTTGTTTATTAGCTTCTCTTTCTACTGCATCCTCAAACATAGGTATTCCCCTGACTTAGTCCTTTGTTTTTACTTTCTCACTTCACACATTTCCTCTGTTTTGTCTTTTATTCCTATAGTTTCAGCTGTCATTTCTACGCATAAGCCTCCTATAGGTTTATCTCCAGCCCAAATTTTCATCCTGAGCCTAGAACTATTATGTCCAAGAATCTACTGGACATGTCCACTAGGATGTCCCACAGACAAGATACAAAACTAAATTCATCATCTATCTTCCTCTTTGCTCTGCATACCACTTTACCCTGCTCTTCCCCTTGCACTTCCTATTTCACTAATAGTACAAATTTCCTAAGTGAGAAAATATAGGCACCATCTTTCTCTCTATCCCCTTCCTAGGCTAACCTCAAAATAGTTGGATTCTTCCAAGTATTTATAAAATCCATTCATTGCTTTTTATCGGCACCCTGTTATCCCTGCCTAATTCATGTCCCCATCAATTTTTACAAGGACAATAGCTTCTTAATTGTCATCCCCCCTTTTTTTGTCCCCACACAAATCTATATATATAGAAGTCCAGCGACCAGAATGGTGGAACGACCGGTACAACTGGAATGACCAGTGGCTATGATGTGCACTGTGGCAGCCAACCAGCCTGATCCAGGCCCTGATCAGCCCCCGTTCCCCTGCTGGCCCAGCCCCTGATTAGCCCCCAACACCCCGATCAGGGGCAGGGCCAGCCAAATGCCCACGGCCCCTCCCCCCGCACCCGCCCAACCCTATGGGGGCCCATACCACCTGTGTATAAATTCATGCACTGGGCCTCTAGCTCTTTATACTGAAGCCAGAAGGAATTTTGAATTTTAGATAAAATTATCTCTGAATTTTAATGAGGCACATGACCACTCAGAAAAAAGTCAATGGAAAATGAGTAGAATTGATGTGTATGACTTCCATCTAGAACCTTTAAAAGGAATAGGCCATCTTCCTCTTATTTTGAACCCTTTCTTGCTAGCTGGGATATGGACCCAGGAAGTGTGGTGATGATTTTCAAGTATGTGAATGAATTAAACAACTAGGGCATAATGGAATCACAAGACAGAAACATCTTAAGATCCCAATAACATCAGGCTGCATCCTTAATCTTGAACTGCCTACTTGGACTTATTTTTGAGAGAAATATTTTCTATCTTATTCTATCACTATATTTTTGGATCTCTTTTTGCAGCAAACCAATTTCCATTCTAGATCATGAATATGTTGCTTAATGAATACCCATTACCCAAAGATAAGGCCCAAATTCCATATCTTGAAATAAGAGAACCTTCTTGATCTGCATCCTATTTATCATTCTCTCATCATTCTCCGACTCCCATTCTGAAGTACTCTTGATTCCTTGTACATGCTATGCTTTCTTTCATATCTTGGCCCTTTCATGTGGTCTTCTCTATGCTCAGAATACTTTCCCTTGGCTAACTTCTATACCCTCTTCAAAAATGTCCCTCCTTCAAAGTGTCCTCCCAGAATCTACTGGACTGAAAGAGGTGCCCTTTCTATATGTTCCCATAGCATCCTGTGCCTTAACATACCATGTTCCAGTTGCTTTCCTTAAGTGCCTGTTTCTCCCTATAGGAACTGCGATTTGCTTACCATTGTATCCTAGCACCTAACAGTACCTGAGATACAGATGTCAACACAGGGTGGCAAAAGCAGATTTACAATTGAGAGTACTCAAAACAGAGTTTATTTTTGTGTTATTATTTATCAATTATTGTATTGTTTTCCATATGAACAACTGTAAACCTACTTTTACCCCCATATATATTGAATTAATAAATGGAGAGTAGGGCAATCTTTAAAAAACATGAGGAGTTACATGTCATTATATCTCAATGAAGCTGGAAAACAAAAAAACATGAAGGAATAGTATTTTTAAGTTACTTTTTTCACTTATAGTTCAGTAATGATCACCTTAAAAATGTGGAAAGTGCTACTTTTAAGGAAAAGTATGAGGAATAATGACCTTTAACAATCTGGACATCTGTTAGAGGCTCACAGACCAGATAGGGTAGGATCCTCACTGAATGCCAGGACAGGGCTGGGTACATCCACTTCCTGCGAAGACTTAATGACGCCACCTCATAGTTCTTGCTTGCTCCCACCTTCCCCATCTCCTCTACTTGGAAAATATTTTTTCCCTGGGAACCTCCCAGGCTTTTTTCCAAAGCATTTCTGAGAGAGAGGGTTGAAGAACAAAGATGTTATTGATTTTGGACTACAATTTTCAGGCTTCAAATCTCCTTTCCCCGTGTCCTCTAGAGAATCCATGACTTCCTGCTAATCTCACAATCTGTGTAGCAGGCAAAGTCTGTTTTGTAGATTCTAAGAATTGCCTAAAGTGTAAATAAGCAGTTTTGTTGGGGGTTTTCTTTTGTATCCTTTATGGACAGCCTTATTCCAAGGCTGTGCTACGGGGTCCACATTGCTTTGAGGGAAGATTAGCTTCTCAAATAGATTGGCACTAGTTTCTCTCAGCTAAGAAAGGTGATATGGTGTGTCTGTGGGATGCTTAAGAAGCTATTTTTACTTTAGCAAAGAAAAAGAAATAAATTTATACTTTACCATCATTTTCACCTAAAGGGGAAAAAAGAGAAACAAAATGTTAAATTCTATATTTCAACTCAGAATCTCCTCTCACCCTACCTTTTGTTACTCTTTTCTGCCACTCCCCATTATTTAACTGCTATCTTACTGTTGTTGTTGGCCCTATCCAGGGGAGGGCATTTAGGGGTGATCAGGCCAGTGGGGGGGCAGTTGGGGGCGAGCAGGCTGGCAGGCAGAGTGGTTAGGAGCCAGTGGTCTCTGATTGCGAGAGGTATATCCGACTGCCAGTTTATGCCTGATCCCACAGGGACATCCCCCAGCAATCGGACATCCTCCAAGGGATCCCAGATTGGAGAGGGTGCAGGCAAGGCTGAGGGACCCCCCACCTCCAACCCCCATGCATGAATTTCGTGCACCGGGCCTCTAGTATTATATAATCATCCATAAGGTCCCATAAAACAAAGCTCATTAGATAGACTTAGTGTGTTCTCTGGTAAGTTAGATATAAAACCTAACTCCAGGGTTTATACTTGTAAATTTGTAACTAAAAAGAAATTTTATAAAGTGATAGATTTTACTCTTAAATTTGTTGGTTCAGTGGAAGGTTGCCTCAGGACTTTCTATGAAGCTTTCAAATGAAGCCAAATGGCCCATGGAAGACTAATCTTAAGAATCTGTTTTTATTAGCCAGATATATTTACGTTATATGGTACAGCTCACTCACAGATTTAAGGTATCCTATCTAATACTAGATAAACATAGTAATTAACTGTACCTCTGACACGTTTCCCATTGGCTAATCAGGGTGATATGCAAATAAACTGCCAACCAAGATGGCGGCTGGCAGCCAGGCAGCTGAAGTGAACAGGAGGCTTGCTTGCTCCAGTGATGGAGGAAGCCAAGGTTCCCTGCCTGCTGCAGCCCAGCTCTGAGCTGCACTATAAGCAACTATGTTGCAATTATAGAAGCTAAACAATCCCCAGAAACCTGCTTTCAGCCAGTGGGGCCTCAGAGCTGGAGTTGCAACAGTGTTTCAACAGAGTTTCAATTATAGAATCTAAACAAACCCAGATACCTGCTTTTAGCCGTCAACGGCCTCAGAACTGGAGCCGGCTCTCAGCTCCAGTGCCAGCCATAGAAGGTAAATAAATCCCAGAATTAAAAAAAAAAAGAAAAAAGGAGAGGCTGGGAGCTTCAGTCGCCCACCAGCCTGAAAAAAGCCCTCAGCCCCTCAACCAGAAC